GGTCCTGTTCATTGGGGTCCAGGTCCTGTTCATTGGGGTCCAGGAGGTAGTGGTTCTTTTTTTCTTTTTTGAGATGGAGTCTGGCTCTGCCACCCAGGCTGGAGTGCAGTGGCGCGATCTCGGCTCACTGCAACCTCTGCCTCCCAGGTTCCAGCAATTCTCCTGCCTCAGCCTTCCAAGTAGCTGGGATTATAGGAACCTGCCAACACGTCTGGCTAATTTTTGTATTCTTAGTAGAGATGGGGTTTCACTGGGTTAGTCAGGCTGGTCTCAAACTCCTGACCTCAGGTGATCAGCCCATCTCGGCCTCCTAAAGTGCTGGGGTTATAGGCGGGAGTCACCATCCCACCCCAGGTAGGGGTACTTAAGCAGATGAAGGGGTAGAAACCATCTGTTTTGCTTTTTCCAATTGTGCATGTGCTTCTCCTCCCAGGGGGCCTCTGAGATTCTCACAAGCCACAGGTGTGTGACAGGTGTGGGTGTTGTCCTTGGGGAGCTGGCAGCGGGGGGTTCTATTTTGTGGACCAGAGTCTCCCTGGGGTGATTCTGATACATCATCACCCGATGGAGAATGCACCATTTGCGGTGAGGGAAGCAGTGTTAATGGGAGAGAAGGTTGGGGACCCTCCTTTGTATTTTGCACCCCTAGGCTGAACCATTTTTTACCAGCACTTAAAGTGCCCCTTGCCAGCCTAGTAACAGCACAATCCCACCATTTAGAATCTCCACAAGTTCATTCACACTGCAGGTCAATAACCACATAGTCATCACTTAGCCACACCACATGTGAGGAGGTGAAGGCTACCAGGCGAAGCCATGGGGCTCTTTGTAGAATACTGTAGAAACACTGATGCAATGTTTTTGGGATGGAGTTTTGCTCTTGTAGCCCAGGCTGCAGTACAATGGTGCTATCTTGGCTCACTGTAACCTCTGCCTCCCGGGTTCAAGTGATTCTCCTGCCTCAGCCTCCCAAGTAGCTGGGATTACAGGCATGCACCACCACGCCTGGCTAATTTTGTATTTTTAGTAGAGTTGGGGTTTCACCATGTTGGCCGGGCAGGTCTCAAACTCCTGACCTCAGGTGATCCACCTGCTTCAGCCTCCCAAAGTGTGGGGATTACAGGCGTGAGCCACCACACCCGGCCTTGATGTACTTTTTCTATTAAATGATCTAAGAACAATTTTATGGGCAGAAAGTATGACTGTAATAAATGCGTACAATCCAAAACCACCACCTACTGTCCGTGAAAAACAAAAATCAAGCTGTCATGCCAACTCTAATTGGTTACTTCTGTTTCTACTGTTAGTCACACTCACTCATTTACTCGTTTTTTTGTGTGTCAGTGTCCACCGGCAGACACAGTAAAAGCAGGTGCTGACATTTTAAGAAACATTTGAGGGAACATTTTCAGTGGAACGTGCTCAGGTTGAGGCAGCGTTAGCGCACTAGTGCAACTGCTTCACCCCGAGCACTGGCGACAAGTGCAATGGTTTCATTTTACTGAAATTCCCAAGTCCAGCTGATGGAATAAATTCAGGAGCATCGTCTGAGAACTACTGGCTCAAAGGGTTCCATGTCTTGCTTCTTTAACTGTCAAACCGTGACTGTGATATAAATATATATTCCTGGCCCAAGTGATGGGTGACCTTTGAAGCAGATGAGGTCTCCAGTCAAAACTAGCTGTGCCCCCTGTGTGTTCTAGCTCTGGGGATTTTGTCCCTGGCTTCTTTCTACCCCCACATCTCTTTCTTTCAATCTGCACCATTAAGAAGCATTCTTGGTCAGGTGTGATAGCTCACTTTGAGAGGCTGAGGTGGGCGGATCACTTGAGGCCAGGAGTTCCAGACCAGCCTGGCCAACATGGTGAAACCTCGTCTCTAACGAAAAATACCAAAATTAGCTGGGAGTGGTGGCTCATGCCCGTAATCCCAGCTGCTCAGGAGGCTGAGGCACAAGAACCTCTTGAACCTGGTAAGAGGAGATTGCAGTGAGCCAAGATTGCAGCACTGCACTCTAGCCTGGGCAACTGAACAAGGCTCTGTCTCAGGAAAAAAAAGGCATTCCTTCTAGGCTCTGCAAATAGGCCACGTGCTAAAATCAACATTCTAAGGGCCGGAAGGACTTCTAGAGGCATCTTTCAGACGCTGGCACTAGTTCAGAGCCTCACAGATAGCTCCAGTTTCTGCCAGAGTACCCTCAGGGCCCGGGAACTCACACTACTTCCCCAAGAAAGATTCTCATGAAACATCATCTCCCATCTCCACCCTCTAAAACCACCCAGCCCTTCCGCTTTGTTTTTGCTACCAGCTCTCTCTGCCTTGTATTATTGTCATCTGGAGACTTAACTGTCACACAGTGGTAAAGGCTTAGGTTTTGGGACCATTTGCGTTAGCATCCCTGCTCTGTATTTATCTTCACCATTTACCAGCCATGTGACCTTGGCAAGTTACTTAACCTCTCTGAGCCTCAGTTATCACCCATGTGGAATGGGAGTAACCTCAGGGTCTATTTCAAGGATTATTCCGAGGCCTAAGGTAATGGGAGGAATCTGCTTGACATGTAGAAAGCTCTCAGCACAGCGGAGATGTTATTATTATCCCTCTGCTAGACTACAAAATCTCTGAGGGCAGGGACCTCTTCTTGGGTATCTTTGGACCCCTCCATAACAGTGGGCAAAGTGTCTGTCAGAGGGATTTAATGAAAGCATCAGAGGAAAGAGATTGTACTGATCAAGAGAGACAGGAAGCTTGGATAACTGAAAATCTACCGTCATCAGAAGGCGCATACACATAAAGCCAAAGCTCCTGCCAAAGAAATGCGTGGAGCCGAAAACAAAACCCAGAGCAAGAATGTCGAGAGCAAGGATGGGTTGGGACAGGAAATGGAGACATCTCGCAGAATCAGGTCACATTCTGGGGGGAAGAAGGAACAAAGGCACAAGATGAGTGAGTGCTAATTAAAGTGGCCGAAGAGAACAGCGTGGTGCTGTAAATGCCAGCAGAGCCAGGAGCCCTGCTGCCGGCCTGACCCAACGCAGGCACGTTGATGAAAATGGAAAAGGACGGCTGGAGTTCGCGATAATGTATTATAGATTGCAAAATCACTAGAAGAGAGGGTTTTGAATGTTCTTATCCCAAAGAAAGAATGAACGTTTCGGATGCCGGATGTGTTAATTACCTTGATTTGATCATTACACAACGTATACTTGTACTGAAACATCACGTTGTACCCCATAAGCATGTGCAATTATGTCAATCAGAAATTTAAAGATTAAATTTTTTTAAAAAGGAAAAACAAGCTTTCCACCACACAAATCATTTTCTGAGCCTGCACACTGGCATTCATCTTTCCTCCTACGCTTGTGGCCTGAAAGAGGAGGAGTATGATTGGCAGCGCGGCAGCCTCTCCATATTTACCAAGCCTCGCGCTCACTCCCGGCTTCAATGGTGTTTTCAGCTGGAGCCTCTTCCTGCCATTCCTTTCCTCTCTGCATGGCTGCTGATGCTCATCCGGGAGCAGGAAATGAGTGCATTCTTGGGCTTTTCTGCAATTAGTCTTCTAAAGAGAAAAACAAAACCACACAAGAAAGAAAACGGAATGTTTAGGGATATTCTAAAAACTTTTACAGGCTGGCTATTTACGGAGGCCAGGAAAGAAAGGTGCAGGCTGGCTACTCAGCCCCTCTGGACTGGGGGTTTATGGGAATTTAGCTCAGGCTCACGTATGTTTACTCTCCACTTCCTGATTACTCTGAAGGTTTATTTGGAGATTCCAACGTGGGAAAGGAATGCCCTTGCAAACTCTTGACTGTGCAGCAACACATCTTTTGCGGGGAGAAAATGGCTCTGGGAGAGCATGTAGAAGGGACAGGGCCACTCTCGAATCTCCACCCCCTAGATCACTGTGTCACCTCTGGGATAGGGGTGTGATGAATCGATTAAAGGCATTATTGTAAGTTGAAAGTGTGCTAGAGCCAGGTGGCAGAGGCACACTCTCAAATCCGCCTTCAGCAACATTACGAAAATCTACAGATACTACACACTGGGGCTTTTTCTCCCTTCCCTGAGAGTCAGCTGAAAATTTACTGACTTGTCACTAAATCCAAGAGGAATCAGTTAACCTGGTGGACCGAGCAAGGAGGTTAGCATAAAACTGGCCAGATACACAGATAAGGCTGATTGTGTTATGTCTCCCTTCCGTAATGGAAGCCTGATAGGAATGAGGCCCACGGTGCCTCAGCAGTTAGCTCCCTTTACTGCGTAGCCTTGGAAGTAATGGAGTGGGCTTTCGAGATTTCCCTTCTTTCTTCTTTTCCACTGAAATGGAGGCCTCCAGTTGCAAAGCTCCCCATAGTCGGATTACGCTTCCCGATGGGCATGAAAAGTGCACAAAAGAGAATTTTCTGATGTAAGAATGGAGGATGTTGCCTGCAACTGGTGGTCCCAGATCCCTGCGGTGGCAGTTTAAGGTAGATGGGAAGGCTCTAGATGCGTGGGACCGGAGTCTTGTGTTCTTTGCCTCAAAGCTGAATTCTGCCTCCTCTTTCAACCTTATACCAATTTCCCTTCAATGACCATCTGCACATAGAAGTGCTATTGAGGCTAGAGAGTGGTGAGTTTAACCTCACAGTGTACTCTAGAGAGAGGGCCTGTGTGCATTTTTGGAATTGATTTCCATATATTCCAAAAACCGAAAGCCTCAAGGTCCACTCTACCAGCTAACCTAGTTTTTCAGCTAAAAGACCATGGCTTCCTAAAGTCCTATGTCTGTAGATTCTAGCTAGAATGGGCATCCATGGTGCCCATTTTGTTAATTCCAAAGACACAGCATGGTGTAGGAGAAAAAGGACAGAATTTGGAATACAAAAGTTTGGAGTCAGAAGACTTAAATGAATCTTTCCCGTCGAAGTCAGAAGGGGGCGGAGTGTTTGCTGAGAAAGGGCACAAGGAATCTTTCTTAGCGATGGAAACATCTTTCTCCTTTTTGGGTGGTAGTTACACAAAGTGGATCCCTTTGTCGAAATTGATCAGACTGAATACTGAAGGTCTGTGTCTTATTGAATGTAAATTATATAGCAGGTTTTAAAAGGACAGGTTTCAGTCCTGGCCCTGCCTCTTAGTCACCATCTAGAGAAGTTCCTCGCCTCTTTGAGACTCAGTTCCTTTTTCTATGATATGGTAGTAGTGCTTATACCCATGCTTATATTCAGTAAGATCATGCAAGCAAAAGTGCTTTGTAAGTGACAGAAAGCCTCGGTGAGGATCACTCCTATCGTTATTCTTTCCATCCAGCCGCCTCCTGGAGCAGATTGTTAAGCTGATGCGAGTCTGGGCTCTGCCTCACCACTTGCCTTGGAGGTTAGTGTTTATCTATTTTAAGGAGACTCTGGAGATATCAAAATGCTGCAGAAAAGCAAATGGAATATGGATTTGCCAGGGAGAGGAGGGCGGGCTGGAAGGGAACAGCTGGGGAGAAAGCTATCAATCCAGCTCAGCAGCAGGGCCGGGCGGCTGCGGAGAGGGAGTTGCTAAATGCCTGAGAGAGAATCGTGACCAGTAAAAGCAGCATGAGTTAAAAAAAAAAATCACATCTTGCTGAATAAATTGGGTCACATTCGTGATGGAGTTAGTCCACTGAGAGCAGAGATGGGAAAGCGATTTCAGGGCAAAATGCAAAAGATTCGGGGACCCTGGTTGACTCAGCTGAATGTGGCAAAGGTCACTTGGGCATCCTGGCTCAGATAGGGGGTTAAGTAAAGGCTCTTCGTGTGACTTCTGCCGTGAGTCTTATCATAGTTTTGATTTTAACTTGAACTTGATCTTTACTCACAATGGCAATCACAAACTACCTTTTTTTTTTGAGACAGGGTCTTGCTCTGGTACTCTGGTATTGCCCAAGCTCACTGCTGCAACCTCGACCTCTGGGCTCAAGCAATCCTCCAACCTTAGCCTCTCAAACAGCTGGGACTACAGGCATGAACCACCATGCCTGGCTAATTTAAATTATTTTTTTGAGATCTGTCACCAGGCTGGAGTGCAGTGGTGCCATCTCGGCTCACTGCACCCTCCACCTCCAGGTTCAAGCAATTCTCCTGCCTCAGCCTCCTGAGCAGCTGAGACTACAGGCACGCACCCACCATGCCCAGCTAATTTTTTGCATTTTTAGTAGAGACGGGGTTTCATCATGTTGGCCAGGATGGTCTCAATCTCCTGACCTCATGATCCACCCACCTCAGCCTTTCAAAGTGCTGGGATTACAGGCATGAGCCACTGCGCGTGGCCTAAAATATTTTTTGTAGAGATGGGGGCTTCACTATATTGCCCAAGCTGGTCTCGAGGATCACCTCAGCCTCGCAAAGAGCTGGGATTGCAGGCATGAGACACTGAGCCCAGCCTACAAACTACCTTTATGTCAGAATCTAGAGCACAGTGTACAGTTTTAAAAAGGAAAATCTTAGAGAGAAGCCAAGTTAAGTGGAGACTGAGAAGCAGGAAGGCCATTCTGGAGTTCACCCTCGGAATTCAACTGCCTTCCCCCAGCGGAGCTCCTGCGTGATTATTCCAGCAAAGCCCTTTCAGTTTAGGAAAACTTTTAACCCTGGGGCCAACGTCCTTTGATAATAAAATCCTGTACAATGATTGAACAGTGTCAAAATCAATGTAAAACTGTTAGCCACTAAAATAAAGTTAAAATAGGGAAAGATTTAACAGGAAGAAATAATCTAAAAGAGAAATCTGATGTGCAAAATTTTGATTTTTATCCTCATTATAAACATTTTGGTGCTTTCTGCTAGATATTTCTGCCAAGGAATGTGATATGTTGAAAAAGGAGAGGAAATGTACTCTCTCTAGATGCTGTGACTATAAAAGGCTGTTTAAAATGATAGGAATCAGTTGAGGCTCTCCCAGTGACCAAGGTTATAAAATTAGAATCTTAAACTACCAAATTAGGGTGAGAAAAAAATCTTCAACAAAAGTAACATCTAAATTTATTTTATTAGAATTTCCTTTATCCCACAATGTTTGTGTTTTCCAGGGACACATGGAATTTCTTCCTTTCTTTCTCTTTCTTTCTCTCTGTCTCTCTGTTTCTCTTTTCTTCCTTCCCTCCCTCCCTCCCTCCCTCCCTCCCTCCCTCCCTCCCTCCCTCCCTCCCTCCTTTCTTTCTTTCTTTCTTTCTTTCTTTCTTTCTTTCTTTCTTTCTTTCTTTCTTTCTTTCTTTCTTTCTTTCTTTTCTTCTTTCTTTCTTTCTTTCTTTTTGGGATGGAGTCTTGCTCTGTTGCCCAGGCTCGAGTGCAGTGGTGCAATCTCAGCTCACTGCAGCCTCCCCCTCCAGGTTCAAATGATTCTCCTGCCTCAGCCTCCTGAGTAGCTGGGATTACAGGCACCCGCCACCACACCTAGCTAATTATTGTATTTTTAGTAGAGATGAGGTTTCACCACGTTGGCCAGGATGGTCTCCATCTCTTGATGTTGTGATCCGCCTGTCTCGGCCTCCCAGAGTGCTGGGATTATGGGCGTAAGCCACTGTGCTGACACATTGAATTTCTAATGTTGTTAATTCCCTACCCTAAAATACATCCTTATTGGAGCAAAGCAGGGGATTGAGGAGACATCAGGTGTGGTGAGGGGCCCCTGAGGAGGTGGGGCATCTTTCCTGCGACTTCTGAATCTAAGAGATGCTAACGGTGCATCAATATGTCAATGTTAATTCCCGGGATGCTGAATGAATCCTAGGTTGGTGGATCCTTCCAAACCCAGGTCTTTGTCTTGCTGGAAATCTTGTGCCTCTTCACCCCTGCCATCCTGTCTCTCACCTCAGCACTCTAGCTCTACTGCTCTGTTAAGTAGCACATGGAGTCTGAGGCTGGGCCTTTTGCATCTGGGCACTGGCTTCATATGGTTCCTCAAGCCCCTGTGTTCCCAGGTCTCTTCAGGAACCGTGTAAGACACAACCTTTCCCTGAGGTCTCTTGTGGGCAGGGACCCCTCAGAGGATTCCTCTTTCCACCGCCCTGGCTTTTGGGCTGACAGACTTGGGTTTGACTTGGCTCCATCCCTATTGGCCAGTTAGATACGCTCTGTGGACACTGACTTCCCTGCCTTGGAGGGTGGCCCACTGATGAAGTGTCGTCATTACACATGAGTTGTAATTAGCTACTCACCACTTTTGCCAGTGACTTAATTGGAGAGCTTGATGGTGAGTTGTCCAACAGGTGACAGGAAATCAATGGATGTGAACTAAGAAGAGGGACCCACCATCCCGTCGTGAATTTGGGACATCCCCAAACAAAGGCTGTGTACTTGTCCCAGATCAGCTTTCTAAGTGCAGGACTGGGACGCGTGGTTCAATGGCAGCACGTGTGACATAGATTTAGGAGTGTCTAGCCCACAGTGACCTCCTGGTGGGGACAGAGGCAGGACAGGGTAATCTGGGTCAGAGTGCATCAGTTGCAATCAACTGAAATAGACTCTAAATCTGAAAAAGGATTTTCTGGAAAGACATGGAATAGTTATTGGATGCTGAAGAACCAAGTCTCAGGAAAAAGAGGACCCCACCCCCACACGTCCCCCTGAAATGGGGTCATCAGAATTTCTCTGTTCCACTGTTTTCCATTACATTTTTCTCCCAAATGCTCAAAACTCTGGGAGCCAGAGTCTGATGGCCTAAACTGGGTTCTGTATGCTACCATCCTCTAAGTAGGAGGGGAACAGAGAACCAAGACTCCTCAGAATAAGGAAGAACAGCTCTCTAATGAGAAATCACAGCGCTTTTACCCAGAAAAGTGGGAGTGTGTGGTTGATAGGCCAAAGCAAGAGATCTCCAGGTGCTGATTTTAGAAAGGCACACAGAAAACCAGGGAGATGATTCCACCCTGCTCCTTCCTGGCCAAGATAGGGCCTAGTTCTGGGCAGCACACTTTCAGAGACTTTTGACAGCTTGGCAAGAGAAGGGATAGGTTCAAAAATAACAAATAAGATGGCAAATATCCGAAAAACATGACACACAGGCAAGGTTGAAAGAATTGAAGAGAGCAAACCCAAAGGAGAGAAGACCAAGTTGGTGTCTAATTGCAGCCCTCGGACACGGGAAGGCCTAGAATGTAGATGCAGGACAATTTTGTATTCAGTGGTTGTGAAAGGAAGACCTAAAATCAAGAACCAGGAACAGATGAAAGGGGAACAGATTTTTTTTTTTTTTTTTTTTTGAGACAGAGTCTCACTCTGTCACCAAGCAGCAGGCTGGAGTGCACTGGCGCGACCTCGGCTCACTACAACCTCCACCTTCCGGGTTCAAGCAATTCTCCTGCCTCAGCCTCCCGAGTAGCTGGGACTACAGGCATGTGCCACCATGCCCAGCTAATATTTTTGTTTTTTTAGTAGAGATGGAGTTTCACCATGTTGGCCAGATAGTCTCGATCTATTGACCTCATGATCCGCCCGCCTTGGCCTCCCAAAGTGCTGGGATTACAGGCGTGAGCCACCGCGCCTGGCCAGGAACAGATTTTATCCCATTATATGTAAGATCTTTTCACGGAATGAAATGAACTGAGTTGTAAGGTAGGGAACTTCCCATTTCTGGGAAACCTTGGATGCTCAGTTGCCTTTAGCAATAAGCGCACTCATAATGGACAACGTGGCCCTGCTGCTGAAGACGCTGACCTAATAATGATTCAGGGCCGGAAACTGCACTCCCCGTTTGGCCGCATCTGCCAAAGAGCACTTTTCTAAACGTGGAGTTCTAGACATGGGCAATGCGAGTGATGATGGGGAGAACAGGAAAGGACTCCTCTGCATCCCTAACCACCTGCCCAGACCCTATGTGGTGCAAGCCCACCAGGCGGAGTGCCTTTCCATGACAGCGCTGCTTCACGAGAGGACCTCTTTTGGGATGTGTTGTAATGACCTACTTCCTTCTATACGTCTTCCAATGGGAATGATGTTACAACATCTTGCTGTACTCTGAACAATATTCGATAAATGCATATCATGTCTCTAGGATGATACCTTTTATCAGGAAGCTAGAGTATACATATTTCAAAACACCATGTTGTATATGATAAATATATACAATTTTTTTGGTCTCTTAAATAATAAATAAAAAGGAAGCTAGGGTATCAGAGTTGGAAGGGACTTTTGTGACCCTTGTGTTTACGATGCTTGAATATACCCAGTGGCATTTCTGACAAGTTGATTTGTGGCCTGGTCTTGATTCCTTTTTGAACCTCCAACCTTCTAAAGGAGTCCACACACCACCGAGTGGTTTCGGCTGCTAAAATTCTTTCTTACTGTAGGCCGAAATCTACTCATGATTTGGCCATATCTATCAAAATTTAAAATGCACATACTCTCTGACCAGCATTCTACCTCAAACAATTTATCCCACAGATATAGGCCCCGTGGGCTCAAAGACATGTGTGCAAAGATATCCACTGCAGCACAGGCCTAGAAATAATTTAAACGTCTGACCAGGGACTGATGAAATAAATTATGGAATATCTGTACTACGGAAAACCAAGAGGTTGTTAAAAAAAAATTAAACCGTTCTCATGCACTGACAGGGAAAAATCTTTAATTCATGTTGATTTGTGAGAAAGAGAGACTAGCTCAATAATATGTAGAGAATAATTCCATTTATGTGATAGAAAAAAGGAGATACATGAACATATGCTTTGGTTGTATCTGGAAAGATACTAGTAACTGTTTGCCTGTGGTGAGGGCATCTATGGTAAACTGGTTTCAGGGGTATAAGGAAGAATTTTGGGTTTATACATGTATGTATATATGTATGTGTGTTTATGTGCATGTAAATATATGTGTGTATGCATATATACATATATATATATTTTTTTTTTTAAGACAGAGTCTTGCTCTGTCATCGAGGCTGGAGTGAAGTGGTGCGATCACAGTTCACTGCAGCCTCGACCTCCCCATACTCAAGTGATCCTCCCATCTCAGCCTCCTGAGTAATTGGGATCACAGGTACACACCACCACACTCTGCTAATTTTTTTATTTTTTGTAGAGACGAGGCTTTGCCATGTTGCCCAGGCTAGTCTCAAACTCCTGGGCTCAAGTTATCTGCCCACTTCAGCCTCCTGAAGTGCTGAGATTACAGGAATGAGCCACCACACCTGGCCACTTGTATATACCTTAATTTTTTTTTTACCCTGTGCATATATCACTTAAAAAACTTCTTTAAAAATATACCCTCTTAAATCCTAGCACAGGGTCCACCTGGTTCTACCTCATAAAGCAGTGCAGAACACCTCTAATATTTCTTCTAGAACAGCATGCGTTTGTGAGCCTCTACCATGAGCCCTTTCTACCCTGTCTTCTACAGGTTAAACAAACACAGTTCTTTACATCAATGCTTTTGTTCCTGGCCATCTGGTCTCCCATCCCCTGCAGACCCAAGACCATGGGCTGTGCTGCAGCAAAATGAGGGTGTCCTCAGTGCACTGAGACCCACATGCCATGAGAGATGGTGAGTGAAGTCAGGGAGAGGAATGTCTCCAGAGGCAGGGCTGCCCTGGGAGGCCCTGTCCCAAACAGGAGTGGGAGCATCTGGAAGGGCTGAATAGGAGTGTGGGCTGGGCTGGGATGGAAGGGAGGCCAAGCATGCAGAGACCAGCTTTACTAAGATGTGTAGTGCATAAGGGTCCCCTAAAGGGACTAGTTTGCTAGAATAAAAAAGAAAAACCAGAATCTCCTGTATTTACATGGCTACTTTATAATTTTTAAGGCATTTTACAAACTGCATTAAATTTGTTACTTACCACTGCTTTAATGTAGGTATTCAGGAATTATTTTTCCCATTTCAGGAGAAAGTCTTGGACAGAGAGATTAAGGATTTGGGGCTGGGCACAGTGGCTCATGCCTGTAGTCCTAGCACTTTGGGAGGTTAAAGCAGGAGGATCACTTGAGGCCGGGAATTTGAGCCTATGCCGGTCAACATAGTGAGACGTTGTCACCACAACACATTTGCATTGATTATTTATTTGTTTGTTTGAGACAGGTTCTGACTCTGTCACTTAGGCTGGAGTGGAATGTGTGATCAGAGTTCACTGTAGCCTCGATCTCCTGCATTCAAGCCATCCTCCCACCTCAGCCTCCCGAGTAGCTGGGACTGCAGGCATACACCACCATGTCTGGCTGAATTTTTGTACATTTTGTAGAGACAGGGTTGTGCCACGTTGTCCACGCTGGTCCCTAGCTCCTGGACTCAATCAATCTGCCTGCCTCAAACTCCCAGAGGCCTGGAACTATAGGCATGAACCATTGCTCTTGGCCATTTTTAATTTAAGAGACAGGGTCTCACTTTGTTACCCACGCTGGAGGGCAGTACCCTTACTGCAGCCTTGAATGCCAAGGCTCAAGCCATCCCCCCACCTCAGCCTCTCAAGTAGCTGGGACTCCATGTGTGCATTACCATGCCCAGCTAACTGAGTCACCACCACACCACTGTATGCCAGCTATGTCAAAATGAGAGACCCTGTCTCTAAAAAATAATTCAATAAATAAAATGTTTTTGAAAAGGATTTACTCTGGTCTTCTGGTCTTCATGGACACTTTCTGCAATGCAGCCTGCCTTTTATTCATATAAAAACAAATAAAATCAAAAAAGGGTCCTTGCTAAATTACCCCAAATCTTAACAATATGGAAAGATTAGAAAATGTTCTCTCTAGAGACGGAGGAAACTGACTGAATGATTTCTCCGGATCATCATGCACCTCGCTGAGTTCCAAAGCCTCACCTCCACTGCGTAAGACCCTAGGTTAGCCAGGAACACTGGGGGACCCCTTTGTCTCCATCGGCCACACCGGGGCCTGCCTCCACCAAAGAGTAAGAGACCAGTTAAACTTCCCATGTTGGGGAAGGACAGTTCCCTCCCTGTGGCTGCAAAGGAGGAGCTCAGTGTATCCTTAGGGCAAGGGGCATCTGTGGCCTGGGCCTTATAACTTGGGGATCTCTGTCATGCAGGGTCTAGATACTCAAAGTGGCAGCTGAGAGGTGGGAAGGAAGAGGTGAAGAGAGCCACTGGCAGCCCCGCTTCTAGAATTTGGGATCAGATGCCGCCAGCCAGCCTAGGATATGCATGTCACCCAGGCCTGGCTCTTCCTGCAGTGGGCACAGGTCCAGGACTAGAGGCACAGTGTCAGCCTCTAGTAACTTCATTTTCCCCTGTTAGGATGTGCTTCCTGGCCATTTTAACCTAATGGATCAGGATAAACAAGTTAGGGAAGCAGAAGGAAGAGCACATAGGAGCATTTCCTTGCAGGCTGGAGCACCAGGGCTCCCAGGGAATAAGAAAAGGGCTTCTCTTCTTGCTTATAGGAAAAGACATTTTACTAGGGGAGACACTCTAGTGTTCTGAACCGGCAAACACTGGGCCAGAGAGAACGGAGGCGGGAGAGGAAGGTGGCGGGGTTTCTGCAGGAAGTTGAGCCTTCCAGCCTCTTGCTGATAGATCTGGTTGCAGGGAGGGATATTTAAAATTTTAACAGGCAGGCCTGACCAATCAGACCTGTCACCATGGGGCCTCCAGAGTCAGCTCCAGGAGGCCCCCTGCTGGGCCATATCTGTTCCCCCCCACTTGGTTGCAGGACAGTAGGGAGGTGTGGGGACCCTGGGGGAGGGGCCCGGGCCAGGGCTGTTTACCACTCAGTGTGGAAGCGTTATCATATGAGCACAAGGTGTGGCTGCAGCTGACCATCAGCCCTGGTGGGGTTAGCAGCCTGTGGTCCTTCTGGCCTCTCAGGGTGCCGGGCACTCCCTTAATGCTTATTCCAAATCATGCTAGCCTTGTGCAGATCCCCGGCAGAATTGCAAACAAAAGATTTGTTTGCAGAATTGCAAAATTCTTCCATCGAGAGCCAGGCAGTGCAGAAATGTCCCGGTGTACAGCGGGGTGGCTTCTTCGCCTGCAGTAACTCATGTGCAGTTCCGACATGAGGAGCAAGCAGTTCTTGCTTTATCAGGAGGAATCTTCCTCTCCCTTCATCCCCCTCTGGTTCCAGGCTGCCTTGTACATTTCCGCCCCCACTGCCACGCAGCTGGAGCACACCGTCAGAATGGATGCCTCATTGCATCAGGAATCCAGAGCTCTTCGTCTGTAAAACAGGAGGGGCCTGGGCTTCCAGAACCACTAACAGATGTCTAAGTGAAAAAAACTCCACACCTGCCCAACTGCCAGCTTCCTTTTTCATTCTTGAGGGCTCCCAGTAACAAGAGCATTAGAAAAATGTGCTGTGTGAGCTGCGGTTTCCACTTTCCCTGAAGCCCAGCTATCTAATCTCCTGGGAGTGAGAAATCAGGTAGTGAGCTGTCTAAGATGGGAGGCAAGAGGTGCCATAGGAGGCCATGTACGTGTTGCCCAGGAGGCCTGGTCGCCCAGGACGCCTGCTTCTGCAAACATAACCGAGGATGACAGCATGGGCGCGCTAAAGCTGGTCTTGACAGAGAAGCCCATGAAAATTTGCTGGTCGAAATGGCAGACATTGTTTCATTATTTTTATGTTTATACATATTATTGCTTGCACTTTTTCTTTCCTTTTTGAGACAGAGTCTCCCTCTGTCACCCAGGTTGGAGTGCAGTGGTGCAATCTCCGCTCACTGCAACGTCCGCCTCCCAGGTTCAAGCGATTCTTGTGCATCAGCCTCTTGAGTAGCTGGTGTTACAGGCACACGCCACTACACCCAGCTAATTTTTTTTTGTATTTTTAGTAGAGATGAGGTTTCACCATGTTGGCCAGGCTGGTCTTGAACTCCTGGACTCAAGTGATTGGCCCGCCTCAGCCTCCCAAAAGCCTGGGATTAGAGGTGTGAGCCACCATGCCCAGCATGTTTATGCATCTTGTTTTTACTTCTAATCCATATATATAGTTTTAAAATTCCGATATTTACAAGCTTTAGTAAAAATTCATAGCCTCGTAGCCTCTTGCCCATCCATCCCTGCCTTCAGGTACTGCTGCCCAGAATCAGCCACTGCCTGTGACTTTGTACTCCTGGTATTTGCGGCAGTCATTCCACATGATGTGCTTACAGAGTTGTATCTTTGTAAATTTTAGAAACGATCTCCTGACTTACTGGAAGATGAGGAGGTAGCTTTTTCTTCCTCCCTGCAGGGCATGTTCTTCCTCATTAAGGAACAGAGTTCCTGTATTTCTTCCTATTTTCGATGCATGCCTTTGATGATAAGATTTGCCAGTATTTTCTGAGGCACTGCAAAGGTACCAAAGTGCAAGTAAAGTAACTATGATGCGGATAAATGATGACGCAACACTTCCTTATCACGCTGACCGGAAAGTGTGTTCTGATTTCCGGAATGTTAAGATGGGAAAGACGTGCATTTTATTATGAGTTACGGGACAGCACATCGTCTGATGAAATCCCTGATCAGTATTTGTATTGCTTTGCCTGTGAAATATTGTCCACAGTGTACTGCGGTGACATTCCTGCTCATGTAAATCTTGTCCCCCCTGGAGTTAATAATTGCCTTGTCTTTTTAATTCATAGGGTTTTTTTTTTGACACTTGTGAGTAATTCATGCCCAGGCTCTCTTCAGTGTGGTGAACACACTAGTAATCTTGCCACTGCGTTTCTCTCCCTGCGGGGACACCCTCCGGGAACTATCTTTCTGCTTCAAACTCAGGCTCGTTTCTCCTCAGGCCCACTGGAGTTACCAGCCCAGAGCCCCATTTTTCCTTCTCTCCTGTGTTGGATTCTCTATTTCCTGGAGCCCGTATCTTCTTTCTTGGTTAATTCTTTGTTCTGTTGGAGCACATTCTCCATAAGCTTCCTGAGAAAAGGTTCATGGTGGGTAAATATTTGGATACCTTGTAAATGTCCCTTGCTCTTGTCTGGGCGTAGAACTCAAATTCAGGAATAATTCTTCTTCATGTTAGAGGCCTTCTTCAAATGTCTGGTGATTTACTGTTGGCACTCAAGTGACCTGTGCATGAGTGAAGCTTGTCAACCAGTGGGCTCATTGTCAGGTGATTCAGTGGTGACCTGGATGTTTCATTAAGAATCCCACTAGGTCATTATTTATGTCTTTTTATCTCCGACTGGTCAGCTTCCCTAATGATGAATCCTTGAATCTTCTGCCCATTGGGTAGAAGCCTCATTGCCAGCATTCTAGGCACTAAGAGGGGGAAAGAGGCTGAGGGGTCCTTCAATCCAGAGTGCAGCTGGGTGCAGTGGCTCACTCGGAAGTCCCAGCTACTTGGGAGGCTGAGGCAGGAGATCTGCTTGAGATCAGGAGTTCAAGACAAGCCTGGGCACCATAGTGAGACTCCGTCTCTACAAAATACGAAAATTAGCTGGGTGTGTTGACATGTTCCTGTGGTCCCAGCTACTCAGGAATTTGAGGCTGCAGGGAGCCATGATCATGCCACTGCACTGTAGCCTGGGCAGTGGCAAGATAAGACAACAACAATAGCAATAAAGTGTAAACCGTCTTTTAATTCCGTTTCTATGGCATGTCACGTGCCAGGTCTAGGTTGCGCCTGGTGTCCTTGAGTCCAGCTCCTCTCCGATTCAACCTTTCCTCCTGAGGCTGGGCAGGGATGGTGGCATGACAGTGCAGCTGTGCACAGGTGTACATAGGGATGGGAAGAAATGTGGAGAGTCTTACAGCTCCACGTACAAATTCTCAACACATTTGTTTTCAGCACATCTGCACCTGTGTTCTGCACAGAGGGAACTCATTTCTGCTTTTTCTAGGAGTCTGTGGTGTAGCTGATTCGCTTCTTACAGATTTTCCTCCCTTTGGGCTTAGGTTGCAGCTTTATCGTCTCTGCTCAATTAGCTGCTTCTCGTTCATCTGCTTTTTTAATTTTTGGTTTTCATAATATTGTTCACATTTGTATCTGCTGTTGTTTCTGTGCCTATTCTCTGTACTTATGGTCTAGGCATGGTGTGCTGGTCAGTGCTTGACAAAACAGCTCTTGCGGGGAAGGGAGGAACCCTGAGTGTGGCAGTCCAATTTCTGTGGTGTAAATCTTCCTAATGTGGCTAATTTCAAGCCACCAAAAGGACATCCCTGAACATACAGTTGGAAAGAAAAGCAAAGTAGCACACCATTATCCAGATGGTTTCTGGCTTAAAATGGTTCCACTTAACGATTTTTTGACTTTACGATGGTGTGAAAGTGATGCACATTCAGTAGAGACGGTGCTTCAGCACAGCGTTCAGGAAGTCACACGAGATGTTCACCACTTTCTTATAAAGTAAGCTGTACGTTAGATGATTTTGCCCAACTGTAGGCTAAGGTAAGTGTTCTGAGCTCATTTAAGGTCGGTTAGGGTAAGCTCTGATGTTCAGTAGGTTAGGTGTATTAAATGACTTTCTGGTGCATGATATTTTCTTTCTTTCTTTCTTTCCTTCTTCCTTTCTTTCTTTCTCTTTCTTTCTTTCTTTCTTTCTTTCTTTCTTCTTTCTTTCTTTCTTTCTTTTCACTTTTTCTT